TTGATTCATTCATCACATTATAAACTATATTGATTCATTCATCACATTATAAACTATATTGATTCATTCATCACATTACAAACGATATTAATATATTCATCACATTATAAACTATATTGATACACTAATGAAATATTTACTAGATTCATATCCATAAAAGTCAAACAGAAAAGTAAGTAATTAAATAAAGTGGTTTTGTTTATTACTTAGTGAAGATCAGTTCTCTGATGAGAATTACTGAGATCGCTTTATGATCAATAGCAAGGCTGCTTTCATGGAGTTAGGTTGATTGGGTGGGCTAAGTGAATTGGTATCAGTACTCAACACAGAACGTGTGCCACTTTCACCACGTGTTTTCTGTCGTTTCTTACGAAATAAACTGATCATGACTAAATCTTGTCAGTTCGGGCTAGTTGTAGGTATAATGACTTCACCAGCTTCCAACGTTTTTCGAATTAAGCTACATATAAAATAAAATGTAATGCTACTATTTACTGAAAATTTTAAGTTAGAAATACATGTTATACTTATCCTGAAAAATCGTTACTGATCTTTAACCATTTAAATCAACTACAAAATCGCTCAGAAGAGGTTACAGAACTTATAACGGCATTCAAACAGCTCTAAATGAAGGATTAAAAGGACTATCGTCTCAATATGTATATGTTTATTGATAATCAGTAAGTTCCGGCGTGTGTTAAAGTTATGTTACATGTTATGAATATTAAATCAAAGGATTAGAGTAAAATTTGTATAAATTATTTGAGTTACCGTATAAATCACAACTTGTTTTACCGTTCTTGTATTAATAAAATTTGTATAAATTATTTGAGTTACCGTATAAATCACAACTTGTTTTACCGTTCTTGTATTAGTAAAATTTGTATAAGTTATTTGAGTTACTTTATAAATCACAACTTGTTTTACCGTTCTTGTATTAGTAAAATTTGTATAAATTATATGAGTTACCGTATAAATCACAACTTGTTTTACCGTTCTTGTATTAGTAAAATTTGTATAAATTATTTGAGTTACTTTATAAATCACAAATTGTTTTACTGTTCTTGTATTAGTAAAATTTGTATAAATTATTTGAGTTACCGTATAAATCACAACTTGTTTTACCGTTCTTGTATTAGTAAAATTAGTATAAATTATTTGAGTTACCGTATAAGTCACAACTTGTTTTACCGTTCTTGTATTAGTAAAATTTGTATAAATTATTTGAGTTACCGTATAAATCACAACTTGTTTTACCGTTCCTGTATTAGTAAAATTTGTATAAATTATTTGAGTTACCGTATAAATCACAACTTGTTTTACCGTTCTTGTATTAGTAAAATTAGTATAAATTATTTGAGTTACCGTATAAATCACAACTTGTTTTACCGTTCTTGTATTAGTAAAATTTGTATAAATTATTTGAGTTACTTTATAAATCACAAATTGTTTTACCGTTCTTGTATTTGCTTGGGTGGACGAACCCTTCTTGGAGCGGGAATACTTGACGTAAAGGTGACGTCAGCAATCCACAGGGTGGCGATTGGATTTTCTGTGCCAGGCTAAAGGAATAATATTAGAGATGGTTACAGAACCTAATTTACATTCATTAATAACGTAATAGAAACAACTGTAAAGCTTAGCAAAAAGAAATCCTAAACTATGGAGAATAATTTATTTACACGGCCATCTTAAAAACAATATCAAACTTAAACGATAGGCTAAAAAAAATAAAAGCATCTTTGTAGACAACAATATGTAGCTAACAGTTCATTCTGTTAGACTCACTTCAAAATCAAAAAGTAGCCAGACATAGCTTTTAATTCGTTGACATCCTTATATTATTCAAAATATCTTAATTTCTTTAAATTGATGTATGATAATGCCCACACTTTTTCTTTAACAAATATCACCAGAATCAGTTGATATCGAGCTACTGTTGTAGCTAGACTATCAAACAAAATATTCACATAGAAAGATCATTACCTTTGGATATCTTATATTGACCAGACTCGGGTAAATGTTATTTTCTTCCATGTAATCTCCATACCAGGGATAACGCACTTCCGGCACACCACTGTCATCAAAAGAGGCGAAACACAATCTTGTACCATCTTCTGACCACCAGATGGGGTTAAGTTTGCCTAGTATTTCTTCTGTAACAACAAAAATGAAATTTACAAAGGACGCAAGTTTGAGAAAAGTTTCCGCAATACTAGTCGCTTTACAGAACATCTTTTTGACATTTTGGAGTAATATTATCTGATAACATCAGTCTTCCTTTAGTGTAAAATGATGTTGGCGTCAATAAGTAAAATGGAGACAAAATACTTCAATAGAATAAAACAAAAGAACATGAAATTTCAGAAGTTAATTTTTACTAAATCGCAATATAAAGTTAATCATTGCAATATTAAATAAATTATTTTATTACAATTTACAGCTTTTACATAAGGAAGATTATTATTTAGAACAGGTACGACGTTTCGATCACTGGTGCGATAATTCTCAGTGATTGAAACGTCGTACCTATTCTAAAGAATAATCCTCCTTACTGTAAAAACTGTAACTTGCAATAACATAATACTTAATCAGTAAGTAAACTCAAAACGAAACTAATATTAAAGAAAGTGAAACCCTATCGAAGCATGAGTTAAAGTTTCTATAGCTCTTTAGAAAGGCTCTAATCTAGTAAGGCAATTAATAAAGAACCAAGAACGTTAATGTTTCACAAAAAAACTTCTATGTTAACTTGGACTTCGACAAGCGGTTAGCAACAACTTTAACAATAGCCTAGTATGTAGAAATAAAGAGTGCTATAAAGAAGACACCACATTTATAATGATTATATCTTAAAACTGCTTGTTCTAGGGGAACTGAGAATTATACACTATATTTTGGAAACTTTTGGATGCAAACCATATTATATTGCACATATAAATCATTTTTGTGCATAGTTTTAATTTATCTTCTTTCTCTCTCTCTCTTTCAATAATAACACGAGGTTGGTGACTTGAAAAAATACGTGTCACCGAGCAGGATATCATGAAGATCGAAAGACACTCTTCAGAGTAGATGATGCGTGCAGTAACTACTTTTAGAGATAGGCCTGGTTGTTCGTTTTGAATTTCGTGTAAAGCTACACGAGAGCTATCTGCGCTAGCCGTCCCTAATTTAGCAGTGAGAGACTAGAGGGAAGGCAGCTAGTCATCACCACCCACACAACTCTTGGGCTACTATTTTACCAATGAATAGTAGGATTGACAGTCACATTATAACACCTCCACGGCTGAAAGAGCGAGCATGTTTGGTGCGACGGGGATTCGAACCCGCGACCCTCAGATTGCGTGTCGAGCGCCCCCTAACCACCTGGCCATGCCGGACCAGATAGGCTTGATATACTTATTGAAAATGGTGAACGTATGTTGAAGACTTTCTGTAGAAGATTTTGAAACACTTCTTGCCATCTCCAAGTCTTCTTTAATTAAAGGTATAATTTTCAGTGTGAAATTTAATTCCCCAAGGACCAGGACGGAGCTTTGGGAGGGGCGGAATCTGTCCCTAAAATATCGTTGTTTTCCAAAACTAATACTATCTATAAATCTAATTTTAGATGGGGCTACATTATGTGTCTGATTCACCCCTTCCCCCTAAGTTAAAAAAAAGCTGGAGCCGGACAAAGTAGGCTTTAAAGTATAACAATTTCAAATACTGGGGTTTCCTTATAATCATCCAGTGTATAACTTTCTGCCAAAATTACAAGTGGTTATGATATAAAATGTGTAACTATTTGAACTTATTAGTTTTTTCAAATGAAATATGAATAATCATAAAGTTAAAAATATGCAGTTTTAAATGTTCAGAAAACAGGCATATATTTATAAAGATAAATTTAAAAATAAGTATCTCCTGTAGACATGTCGTTAAAATATGCATTTGTTAAACGTGCAAAATTTAAATACCTTCATAAACCCAGTCTGGAATGCCATTAAAAATCACTTTGTCTACTCCGCTTCTAGTTATACGTTTTGGAGGAATATCTCCTACGTATGCCATGTAATATATGTCGTTGTTTCGTACATAAACCTGGAATATCAAAATACAAAAAAATTAAGAAATCTTAATATTCCATTTTCTGTAATGAATTGTTCCAGAAGGCGTTATGTTCAGTTCGTTTAGGGTATCCATGAATCATAATGAATCGCATTCAGTTTTGTAGTTTAGTTTCAACGTTACAATGTATTTTTACAAGTCAACATTTTCTGCGATATTGTTATTCCTTTCTAGAAGCTAATAGAAATGACAGCGTTATAGAAAAATTGTGCTTTGTAATGATTTTCAGCTTAAGCTGAACATTGTAAGTATTTTGAAAATTTTGAATTTTTGACGAGTTAGGCTAAAGAAACATATTTTTGAATATACGTAGCACGTAGTAACTACTTGACGAAAGTTTTTAAAATATGAACTGGTGGGTAAAAAGATCCTTTCGTCCCATTAGTATGGAATTTCTCCAGGTGCTTTGAAATGTCGTCTTATTAAGTTTCACCAGAAATAAGTCCATTCATAATCTTTGAAATCTACTTTAACAATAATTTCATGCGTTAAGAACGTGGTAGAGAAATGCGCCAATTTCTAGCCAAGATTGAATTGTCAACATGCATTAGTGATGAAGATTTTTATAGAACTTAAAGCTATAAACAGACAGCCGTTTCACTAACAACAGCTAATAAGGAAACATTAACAACAAAATAGGAAAAGGTGTAAAAAAATAACGAACATTTATACGTGACAAATGTTACAAAATAACGAACATTTTGATGATAATTTATACGTTACAAATGCTACAGTTTTACATTTGCTACCGTGTTTCTTTTGTTAAACCAGTTAACTACGATGTTTGGTATGGAAAAAAAGTTACAAAGTTTCAAGGTCTGGGTTATTTCTCAGTTAACTGATGGGATTTTCAGAATAAGTAATCCAATGATTATCCCGATACATCAAATGAAGGTACACGTCTGCTTAAAGTATTGGATCCATATTTTAGTACATAAAATTCTGTGGGATGCAGCTTCAAAGTGTTAAATGAATAATGCTTGTTACATTACATAATCCAAGGTATGAGAATATGGTATCGTGGGTGAAGCCACCATTGTATGGCTGACGTTGTATTTTTAACAAGCAAATGCAGATGTAGCGTGAAAATATGTGATAATACAATTAAATAGTTAGAAAAGGCGGTAAATGTACTAATTTGGCGACAGTTGACCATATACACTGAGTGGCCACAAGTAAATAGACACCTAATATTTTGTCATTTAACTGATTTATGCTAACTAATTTGTGTTCACAGAGCACTATATAAATGAAAATGGTCCGCACACTAATTATCTTGTGCTACAACATGCCTAGAACTCAAGGTTCTCTCGAATTGTCAGATTTTGTTAGAGGAAGGATAGTTGGTCAAACAGATGGTGGAATAAGTCAGCGGCAAATTTCGCAGAATTTGGGAATCCCGCTTTCGACAGTTAACAGAATCATCGTACAGTTCAGGAAACACGGCAAGGAAACAACTGAGCAGCGTCCGGGTCCATCGGAGAGCACAAAAAGGGCTGTCAAGAGGAGCATCGAAATGGATCCCAGATTAACGACTGCAGAAGTGGCCAAAGTTGGTGGGATGAGCCCGAAATCTGTTCAACGGATTCTCCACAGATTGGATTATCGTTGC